TGGCAGCAGATGGAGGCGGTACAGGGGCCCATGGCAGATTACGGGCCTGGCAGCAGCAATGGGAGGCCCGTAATCTGCCAGCACCCTATGACAAAAAATGGAACACACCAGCAGTGTGTGAGGACCTGAAAGTGGCACATGGCAGAGTGTGGCGATGGAGACAGCAGCAATGGGAGGCCGTACAGGGACCCATGAGAGACTCTGACCTGGCAGCAGCATGAGGAGGCGGTACAGGGGCCCATGGCAGATTACGGGCCAGATTACGGGCGGCAGCAGCAATGGGAGGCCCGTAATCTGCCAGCACCCTATGACAAAAAATGGAACACACCAGCAGTGTGAGGAGACCTGAAAGTGGCACATGGCAGAGTGTGGCGATGGAGACAGCAGCAATGGGAGGCCGTACAGGGACCCATGAGAGACTCTGGACCTGGCAGCAGCATGAGGAGGCGGTACAGGGGCCCATGGCAGATTAGGGGGCCTGGCAGCAGCAATGGGAGGCCCGTAATCTGCCAGCACCCTATGACAAAAAAAAATGGAACACACCAGCAGTGTGAGGAGACCTGAAAGTGGCACATGGCAGAGTGTGGCGATGGAGACAGCAGCAATGGGAGGCCGTACAGGGACCCATGAGAGACTCTGGACCTGGCAGCAGCATGAGGAGGCGGTACAGGGGCCCATGGCAGATTACGGGCCTGGCAGCAGCAATGGGAGGCCCGTAATCTGCCAGCACCCTATGACAAAAAATGGAAACACACCAGCAGTGTGAGGAGACCTGAAAGTGGCACATGGCAGAGTGTGGCGATGGAGACAGCAGCAATGGGAGGCCGTACAGGGACCCATGAGAGACTCTGGACCTGGCAGCAGCATGAGGAGGCGGTACAGGGGCCCATGGCAGATTACGGGCCTGGCAGCAGCAATGGGAGGCCCGTAATCTGCCAGCACCCTATGACAAAAAATGGAACACACCAGCAGTGTGAGGAGACCTGAAAGTGGCACATGGCAGAGTGTGGCGATGGAGACAGCAGCAATGGGAGGCCGTACAGGGACCCATGAGACACTCTGGACCTGGCAGCAGCATGAGGAGGCGGTACAGGGGCCCATGGCAGATTACGGGCCTGGCAGCAGCAATGGGAGGCCCGTAATCTGCCAGCACCCTATGACAAAAAATGGAACACACCAGCAGTGTGAGGAGACCTGAAAGTGGCACATGGCAGAGTGTGGCGATGGAGACAGCAGCAATGGGAGGCCGTACAGGGTACAGGGACCTGAGAGACTCTGGACCTGGCAGCAGCATGAGGAGGCGGTACAGGGGCCCATGGCAGATTACGGGCCTGGCAGCAGCAATGGGAGGCCCGTAATCTGCCAGCACCCTATGACAAAAAATGGAACACACCAGCAGTGTGAGGAGACCTGAAAGTGGCACATGGCAGAGTGTGGCGATGGAGACAGCAGCAATGGGAGGCCGTACAGGGACCCATGAGAGACTGTGGACCTGGCAGCAGCATGAGGAGGCGGTACAGGGGCCCATGGCAGATTACGGGCCTGGCAGCAGCAATGGGAGGCCCGTAATCTGCCAGCACCCTATGACAAAAAATGGAACACACCAGCAGTGTGAGGAGACCTGAAAGTGGCACATGGCAGAGTGTGGCGATGGAGACAGCAGATGGGAGGCCGTACAGGGGACCCATGGGGCCCATGGGCAGATGAGGAGGCGGTACAGGGGGCCCATGGCAGATTAGGGGCCTGGCAGCAGCAATGGGAGGCCCGTAATCTGCCAGCACCCTATGACAAAAAATGGAACACACCAGCAGTGTGAGGAGACCTGAAAGTGGCACATGGCAGAGTGTGGGATGGAGACAGCAGCAATGGGAGGCCGTACAGGGACCCATGAGAGACTCTGGACCTGGCAGCAGCAGGAGGAGGCGGTACAGGGGCCCATGGCAGATTACGGGCCTGGCAGCAGCAATGGGAGGCCCGTAATCTGCCAGCACCCTATGACAAAAAAATGGAAACACACCAGCAGTGTGAGGAGACCTGAAAGTGGCACATGGCAGAGTGTGGCGATGGAGACAGCAGCAATGGGAGGCCGTACAGGGACCCATGAGACACTCTGGACCTGGCAGCAGCATGAGGAGGCGGTACAGGGGCCCATGGCAGATTACGGGCCTGGCAGCAGCAATGGGAGGCCCGTAATCTGCCAGCACCCTATGACAAAAAATGGAACACACCAGCAGTGTGTGAGGAGACCTGAAAGTGGCACATGGCAGTGTGTGGCGATGGAGACAGCAGCAATGGGAGGCCGTACACAGGGACCCATGAGAGACTCTGGACCTGGCAGCAGCATGAGAGGAGGCGGTACTGGGGGCCCATGGCAGATTAGGGGCCTGGCAGCAGCAATGGGAGGCCCGTAATCTGCCAGCACCCTATGACAAAAAATGGAACACACCAGCAGTGTGTGAGGAGACCTGAAAGTGGCACATGGCAGAGTGTGGCGATGGAGACAGCAGCAATGGGAGGGCCGTACACAGGGACCCATGAGAGACTGGACTGGACCTGGCAGCAGCATGAGGAGGCGGTACAGGGGGCCCATGGCAGATTACGGGCCTGGCAGCAGCAATGGGAGGCCCGTAATCTGCCAGCACCCTATGACAAAAATGGAACACACCAGCAGTGTGAGGAGACCTGAAAGTGGCACATGGCAGAGTGTGGCGATGGAGACAGCAGCAATGGGAGGCCGTACAGGGACCCATGAGAGACTCTGGACCTGGCAGCAGCATGAGGAGGCGGTACAGGGGCCCATGGCAGATTACGGGCCTGCAGCAGCAGCAATGGGAGGCCCGTAATCTGCCAGCACCCTATGACAAAAAATGAACACACCAGCAGTGTGTGTGAGGAGACCTGAAAGTGGCACATGGCAGAGTGTGGCGATGGAGACAGCAGCAATGGGAGGCCGTACAGGGACCCATGAGAGACTCTGGACCTGGCAGCAGCATGAGGAGGCGGTACAGGGGCCCATGGCAGATTACGGGCCTGGCAGCAGCAATGGGAGGCCCGTAATCTGCCAGCACCCTATGACAAAAAATGAAACACACCAGCAGTGTGAGGAGACCTGAAAGTGGCACATGGCAGAGTGTGGCGATGGAGACAGCAGCAATGGGAGGCCGTACAGGGACCCATGAGAGACTCTGGACCTGGCAGCAGCATGAGGAGGCGGTACAGGGGCCCATGGCAGATTACGGGCCTGGCAGCAGCAATGGGAGGCCCGTAATCTGCCAGCACCCTATGACAAAAAATGGAACACACCAGCAGTGTGAGGAGACCTGAAAGTGGCACATGGCAGAGTGTGGCGATGGATGGAGACAGCAGCAAATGGGAGGCCGTACAGGGACCCATGAGAGACTCTGGACCTGGCAGCAGCATGAGGAGGAGGAGGCGGTACAGGGGCCCATGGCAGATTACGGGGGCCTGGCAGCAGCAATGGGAGGCCCCGTAATCTGCCAGCACCCTATGACAAAAAATGGAACACACCAGCAGTGTGTGAGGAGACCTGAAAGTGGCACATGGCAGAGTGTGGCGATGGAGACAGCAGCAATGGGAGGCCGTACAGGGACCCATGAGAGACTCTGGACCTGGCAGCAGCATGAGGAGGCGGTACAGGGCCCATGGCAGATTACGGGCCTGGCAGCAGCAGCAATGGGAGGCCCGTAATGCCAGCACCCTATGACAAAAAAAACACACACCCAGTGTGAGGAGACTGAAAGTGGCACATGGCAGCAGTGTGGCGATGGAGACAGCAGCATGGGCAGGCCGTACAGGGACCCATGAGAGAGGACCTGGCAGCAGCATGGGGGCGGTACAGGGGCCCATGGCAGATTACGGGCCTGGCAGCAGCAATGGGAGGCCCGTAATCTGCCAGCACCCTATGACAAAAAAATGGAACACACCAGCAGCAGTGTGAGGAGACCTGAAAGTGGCACATGGCATGGCAGAGTGTGGCGATGGAGACAGCAGCAGCAATGGGAGGCCGTACAGGGACCCATGAGACTCTGGACCTGGCAGCAGCATGAGGAGGCGGTACAGGGGCCCATGGCAGATTACGGGCCTGGCAGCAGCAATGGGAGGCCCGTAATCTGCCAGCACCCTATGACAAAAAATGGAACACACCAGCAGTGTGAGGAGACCTGAAAGTGGCACATGGCAGAGTGTGGCGATGGCGATGGAGACAGCAGCAATGGGAGGCCGTACAGGGACCCATGAGAGACTCTGGACCTGGCAGCAGCATGAGGAGGCGGTACAGGGGCCCATGGCAGATTACGGGCCTGGCAGCAGCAATGGGAGGCCCGTAATCTGCCAGCACCCTATGACAAAAAATGGAAACACACCAGCAGTGTGAGGAGACCTGAAAGTGGCACATGGCAGAGTGTGGCGATGGAGACAGCAGCAATGGGAGCCGTACAGGGACCCATGAGAGACACTCTGGACCTGGCAGCAGCATGAGGAGGCGGTACAGGGGGCCCATGGCAGATTAGGGGCCTGGCAGCAGCAATGGGAGGCCCGTAATCTGCCAGCACCCTATGACAAAAAAAAAAATGGAACACACCAGCAGTGTGAGGAGACCTGAAAGTGGCACATGGCAGAGTGTGGCGATGGAGACAGCAGCAATGGGAGGCCGTACAGGGACCCATGAGAGACTCTGGACCTGGCAGCAGCATGAGGAGGCGGTACAGGGGCCCATGGCAGATTACGGGCCTGGCAGCAGCAATGGGAGGCCCGTAATCTGCCCAGCACCCTATGACAAAAAATGGAAACACACCAGCAGTGTGAGAGGAGACCTGAAAGTGGCACATGGCAGAGTGTGGCGATGGAGACAGCAGCAATGGGAGGCCGTACAGGGACCCATGAGAGACTCTGGACCTGGCAGCAGCATGAGGAGGCGGTACAGGGGCCCCCATGGCAGATTACGGGCCTGGCAGCAGCAATGGGAGGCCCGTAATCTGCCAGCACCCTATGACAAAAAATGGAACACACCAGCAGTGTGAGGAGACCTGAAAGTGGCACATGGCAGAGTGTGGCGATGGAGACAGCAGCAATGGGAGGCCGTACAGGGACCCATGAGACACTCTGGACCTGGCAGCAGCATGAGGAGGCGGTACAGGGGGCCCATGGCAGATTACGGGCCTGGCAGCAGCAATGGGAGGCCCGTAATCTGCCAGCACCCTATGACAAAAAATGGAACACACCAGCAGTGTGAGGAGACCTGAAAGTGGCACATGGCAGAGTGTGGCGATGGAGACAGCAGCAATGGGAGGCCGTACAGGGACCCATGAGAGACTCTGGACCTGGCAGCAGCATGAGGAGGCGGTACAGGGGCCCATGGCAGATTACGGGCCTGGCAGCAGCAATGGGAGGCCCGTAATCTGCCAGCACCCTATGACAAAATGGAAACACACCAGCAGTGTGAGGAGACCTGAAAGTGGCACATGGCAGAGTGTGGCGATGGAGACAGCAGCAATGGGAGGCCGTACAGGGACCCATGAGAGACTCTGGACCTGGCAGCAGCATGAGGAGGCGGTACAGGGGCCCATGGCAGATTACGGGCCTGGCAGCAGCAATGGGAGGCCCGTAATCTGCCAGCACCCTATGACAAAAAATGGAACACACCAGCAGTGTGAGGAGACCTGAAAGTGGCACATGGCAGAGTGTGGCGATGGAGACAGCAGCAATGGGAGGCCGTACAGGGACCCATGAGAGAGACTCTGGACCTGGCAGCAGCATGAGGAGGCGGTACAGGGGCCCATGGCAGATTACGGGCCTGGCAGCAGCAATGGGAGGCCCGTAATCTGCCAGCACCCTATGACAAAAAATGGAACACACCAGCAGTGTGAGGAGACCTGAAAGTGGCACATGGCAGAGTGTGGCGATGGAGACAGCAGCAATGGGAGGCCGTACAGGGACCCATGAGAGACTCTGGACCTGGCAGCAGCATGAGGAGGCGGTACAGGGGCCCATGGCAGATTACGGGCCTGGCAGCAGCAATGGGAGGCCCGTAATCTGCCAGCACCCTATGACAAAAAATGGAACACACCAGCAGTGTGAGGAGACCTGAAAGTGGCACATGGCAGAGTGTGGCGATGGAGACAGCAGCAATGGGAGGCCGTACAGGGACCCATGAGACACTCTGGACCTGGCAGCAGCATGAGGAGGCGGTACAGGGGCCCATGGCAGATTAGGGGCCTGGCAGCAGCAATGGGAGGCCCGTAATCTGCCAGCACCCTATGACAAAAAATGGAACACACCAGCAGTGTGAGGAGACCTGAAAGTGGCACATGTTTGGGGCATGATTCATGGCGGATTTAGTCAGTTGTGTCAGGAACTGGTGGTTTGAAATCCAGACTAATCCACGCCTGATTCATTTTCACACAAACGTGAGTCTCTCCACACTTTGGGTGGACAGTCGTGTCCTCCGCGGAGTTACAATACCTCCTGCCGCACTAAACACGCGCTCCGATGCCACGCTACTGGCCGGGCATGACAGCCTTTCAAGGGCAAATTCAGCTAGTTGGGGCCAAAGGTCAAGTTTCGTTGCCCAGTAGTCAAGGGGATTGTCTACCTCGGTTGGCAGGGTGCTGTCCAAGTAGGCCCAAGCCTGTTGTTTGAGGTCCTGCTCCAGGTCCACCTGATGCTGCTGCTGCTGCGGCTGGTTAGTTAGTAGTTTCCTCACTGCGCTGGTGAAGAAAGCTACTCATCATCGACTGCAGACTGAGGCAGCCGCTGCTGGTGGAGCTGCCACTGCTCCTACCACCCCACCCCTCCCCTGCTGCCATGGCAGCGGAACGCGAGCGCACAGGGCCCACAGTGTCTGAGGATGGACGTTGGCGCAGAAAGGCAGAGACCAACTGACTACATAGGTGGTTTTTATAGTACGTTATTTTGGGCCTCCCTCTCAGCAGGTGTGAAAAAGGCCACCATTTTTGAACGGTAGCGAGGGTCCAACAAGGTGGACAGCCAAAAGTCATCCCTCTGTCTGATGGTTATTATTCGGCTGTCGCTACGCAAAGCAACCGAGCATGCTATGGGCCATTTGTGCCAAGGAATGCGAGGGACTCCCTGCCTCCATCTCCACAGCATACTGCCACGGTGCGTCTGGGTCCTCTGTCTCTCCTCCTCCTCCTCTACCAGATGCTCCTGCTCCTCCACTCCTGTCCGCTGAGTGGAAAAACCACCCATTTCACTCAATAATTCCTGAGCACAAATGTCCTCCTCTACCTCCTCCTCTTCTTCCTGTCCTGCCCCCACAGGGGTCATGTGGCGTTGAGATCTGTGCGCCACCTACGCGCCCTGACCAGCCATTGTTAACAGCATTTGTTCCAGGACGTGCAACAGAGGAATGACGTCGTTCATCCCATAGTCTGCTGACTCGACTCACGAATAGCGTGGCCTCCTCAAAGGGCCTGAGCAAGCGGCAGGTGTCACGCATGAGCTGCCAATGGCTGACATCGAAGTTACACAGGGGAGTACCTTTATCCGCTTGTAACATCAGGAAATCGGTGATGGCCTTTCGCTGTTCGTAAAGGCGGTCTAACATGTGTAGGGTTGAATTCCACCTTGTTGCAACGTCGCAGATCAGGCGATGCTGTGGAATTCCGTTCTGCCGCTGCAGCTCAAGGAGGGTGTGCTTTGCGGTGTAGGAATGGCTGAAATGCATGCAAAGTTTACGTGACATTTTAAGGATGTCTTGCAGTGGGATGGTGGATTTTAGGAACCGCTTGACAACCAGATTGAACACGTGAGCCATGCATGGCGCATGGCACAACCTTCCTTGACGCAGAGCAGACACCATGTTCTTTCCGTTGTCGGTCAACATGGTTCCGATTTTCAGTTTGCGCGGAGACAGCCATCTGTCGATTTCTCTGTTCATTACACTCAGAAGTTCCTCCCCTGTGTGACTACGTTCGCCAAGGCATACCAGGTGCAGCACAGCGTGACACCGTTGCGCCCTGCACATGTGATATGCCGGTCGGGTAATGGGACTTGGCACGGGGGGGTGGCGGCTGAGGACACGGCGGAAGAAGAGGTGGTAGAGGCGGACATCTTTTGTGGACCAAGGACGTGCAAACGTGGAGGCAAAAGCGGCGTGACCTGTCCAAGTTGCTGGTGCGGCTGTGCCGGCACCACGTTCACCCAGTGGGCCGTAAATGACATGTACTGTCCCTGACCGTAGTTACAGCTCCACACGTCGGCGCTGCCGTGCACTTTGGCAGAGACCGACATGCTCAAAGACTGGCCCACCATCTCTTCTACATGTGAATGCAGGGCTGGCACTGCCTTTTTGGCGAAGAAATGACGGCTTGGCACTCTCCACCGCGGCGCGGCACAAGCCATCATTTCTCGGAAAGGTGCTGAGTCCACCACTTGGAAAGGGAGGGACTGCAGCACCAGCAACTTGGACAGGAGGACGTTCAGCTTTTGCACCGTCGGGTGCGTGCTCGCAAACTGTTGTCTCTTGGAAACGGATTCCAAGAAAGACTGCTGACGGAATCCGTGAAGAGGAGTAGCAGGAGAAGGAGCATCTGAACGAGCGGAAGATGCCAACGAGCGACAACTCCCCTCAGCAGAGGTGTTGGAGCCTTGACTGGCTGATAGAGGGCGATTGACGTCGGGTGACGGAGCAAGTAACGGAGCGGGTGATGGAGCGGGGGCTGGGGCAGGCAGAACCGCCGTATCTTTATCACGGTTTTCCCAGGCCACCAAATGGCGACGCTGCATATGCTGACGCAACGCTGTAGTCCCAACATGGGCCCCCTGGCCACGCTTGACTTTCTGGCCACATAGTCGACATACGGCTACGTTTACTTCCTCGGGCGGCTTGACGAAAAATTGCCACACCGCCGAGTAGGAAACTTGCCCCCGATACTCCTCACTGGCTGACTGCTACTTCCTCCGTGCACACCGGCACCACTACTGGCCGTGGTGGTAGGCTGCAGTGGAGCTGGTGCTCTACTCCGTGGCCGTTTGCCTCCACTGACACTGCTGCGACCCTGCTGCCTCCTGGGCAACCCACCGACTGTTTTGCTCGCTGCCAAGCTGCCACCCTCTTCTCCTGATGATGCGGAAGCAATAGCCTGATGACGACGAGGCTGCCAAGTGCGATCAGCCTCATCATCATCAATTAGGGTCTCCGCCTCACTACTAGCCCCCGGCTGCGTGTGGGTCAGGAGACAGACCTGTCTCTAGACCGGCTACCGAGCCACTCTCCTCGCCACTACTTCTTCGCCTGGCTGCTGAAGAGGCGGATGTCTCCCCCCGTTCCTGACCGCCCTCTGTTAGCTCTTCCTCACTGTACAGTGGGGCTGAGCCCACAGCATGCGATACTTCGCTTGGTGAGGGAACACCAAAGGACAGGGGCAGGTAGAGGACACGTGATTTCAGTGGGCTTGCTCCCGGGCCATGCCAACTAACGGTTGTGTCTGACGTACCCCACCGACCGTTGGCTGTAGGTGTCAGAGGTGACCTGGGAAGAGGAAGACGACCGAGCCAACCAATCGATGACGGCAGGGTTGTCGGTGGAGACACGACCGCTGGATGACACCGGGAGCACTGGCCTCTGGCTGCGACTAGTGCTGCCTCGACCCCTTCCTCTGCTGCCACGTCTGCTCGCTCCTAAAACATTGCCTCCTCTGCCACTCCTCTGCATGTTGTCTGACATACTCTTTAATTCAACGATTATGTGTCCCTGAGTAACAATTCTGTGTCCCTGAGTAACAATTCTGTGTCCCTGAGTAACAATTCTGTGTCCCTGAGTAACAATTCTGTGTCCCTGAGTAACAATTCTGTGTCCCTCAGTAACAATTCTGTGTGTCCCTCAGTAACAATTCTGTGTCCCTCAGTAACAATTCTGTGTCCCCAGTAACAATTCTGTGTCCCTGAGTAACAATTCTGTGTCCCTCAGTAACAATTCTGTGTCCCTCAGTAACAATTCTGTGTCCCTCAGTAACAATTCTGTGTCCCTGAGTAACAATTCTCTGTGTCCCTGAGTAACAATTCTGTGTCCCTGAGTAACAATTCTGTGTCCCTCAGTAACAATTCTGTGTCCCTCAGTAACAATTCTGTGTCCCTGAGTAACAATTCTGTGTGTCCCTGAGTAACAATTCTGTGTCTGTCCCTGAGTAACAATTCTGTGTCCCTCAGTAACAATTCTGTGTCCCTCAGTAACAATTCTGTGTGTCCCTGAGTAACAATTCTGTGTCTGTCCTGAGTAACAATTCTGTGTCCCTGAGTAACAATTCTGTGTCCCTCAGTAACAATTCTGTGTCCCTGAGTAACAATTCTGTGTCCCTCAGTAACAATTTCTGTCTGTCCCTGAGTAACAATTCTGTGTCCCTGAGTAACAATTCTGTGTCCCTGAGTAACAATTCTGTGTCCCTCAGTAACAATTCTGTGTCTGTCCTCAGTAACAATTCTTCTGTCCCTCAGTAACAATTCCCTGAGTAACAATTCTGTGTCCCTGAGTAACAATTCTGTGTCCCTCAGTAACAATTGTGTGTCCCTGAGTAACAATTCTGTGTCTGTCCCTGAGTAACAATTGTGTCCCTGAGTAACAATTCTGTGTGTCCCTGAGTAACAATTCTGTGTCTGTCCCTCAGTAACAATTCTGTGTCCCTGAGTAACAATTCTGTGTCTGTCCCTGAGTAACAATTCTGTGTCTGTCCCTGAGTAACAATTCTGTGTCTGTCCCTGAGTAACAATTCTGTGTCCCTCAGTAACAATTCTGTGTCCCTCAGTAACAATTCTGTGTCCC